GCCGCCGGAGCCTCTCGCCTCTCCTGCCGGGGCATCGATCCGGGCTCCCGAATGAGTGGTTGGGACTACTTGTCGATTACTTGCTTTTTCTTTTTACGCTCTCTTTTAGTTTCCTGAATTGGGATTGTTTATTGTAGGTGGAGACTGGTGTCGGGTCGTCCTCCCGGGTTGCTGGTCAGGTCGGTACGACTTCCGGAGCAAAGGTTCCGACCGTTGGGCGAATTGCCCCTGCTGTTGGGGTAAGGAGCGTGTGTTTGCGATATTTTGAATTGCTGTTTCCGGGTTGTCCGTTGTTTTGCGGGACTTATACCTTTTCTTATACTTCTTTTGCAGGTGGGCAGGGCCACCGAGGTTCTGAGAGTTCCGAGGTCGACGGCGGCGGGGGCCGATGTCCCTGGGGCAGAGCCGGGGGCTCCTGCTTCTGCTTCGGCCGGTCTTCGTGGGGAGGGTCCTAGCTCTAGGGTCCCGACCTCTGCACTGGCGGCGAGGGGGCCTCCAAAACGCCCCTATCTTGCGTACCGCTACGCGCAGGAGGGCGCCCCGACGCGATTGGAGCATCTGAGCGCGTCGGAGGAGATTGACTCCTTGTGGAGTGCTTCGTTGACACCCGAGAAATTTTTTTCGAGGGGGTCACTAAGCGCGGCCGACCAGGCGATGCTCGAGTCTGCCAGGCCTATGGGGAGTTTTGATACCGCTCAGATTTTCCTGCAGAGGGGCACGACCATTGTGGATTACTGGAAGCACAAATGGTCACGGCAACAGGAGGATCTAGCGAAGCTGAGAGGCCGAGTGCAGCCCTTGGTGGAGGAGAATAAGGTTTTGGTTGCTGTCTTATCTGAGGCGAAGATGCAGGGGGCCGAGCTTCAGGCAGCCCGGGGGGATCTTGCCGAGGTCCGGAAATCGTTGGGGGTCGCTCTGCGCAGTAATGAGGGTTATGCTAGCCAGGTTCGCTCCTTGGAGGAGGAGGTAGCTTTCTTGAAGGGTGAGCTGGTATCCGTGACCGAGGAGCGTCTTCGCGACGAGGTGGTCCTTAGTAGTAAGGAGGAGGAGATGGCCGCCCAGAGTGCAAGTCTTTCGGCGTTGAAGAGGAGACTTGAGGAAGTTGAACGTTCCGTCGTGGTGGAACACAAGAGGGGCTTCCTCAAGGCTGCTCGGCAGGCTAGGCTCCTCGCGCCGAAGTTCGACTTTTCCGACATGCATTTGGAGAAAGTTGTTCGCTTCGGGCGGTTAGTCCGGGAGGACGATGTCGAGGAGAGTTCTAGCGACAACGCCTCTGTATAGGACAATTTTGTTGTGCATGTACTTTTGTATCTGTGTTTATGTATGGATCATGACTTTTGTACATGTGAGTGTTGTTCTGCACCTGTGTTTGGTTTTGGTATTTCACCTTGAATTTGTTGTGCCGAGACTCGAAGTCGTCTTTTTGTTTGACGGCGCGTTTCAAGAGTTCGGGCTTGTCTTTCGTAATGTCGGGGTCGAGTTCAACCTCGGGTGAGCGTGTCGGGGTTTGTACCCGACTTCTAGTAATCACGGTCAGGTTTATTTTTGACTTTTAATAACTGCGACGAGGTTCATTATCGACCTCTAATGAGTGTCACGAGGTTCGTTGTAGCCCTCTAATAGACGTAACGAGGTTCGTTTTTGCCCTCTAATAAACGTAATGAGG